AAATAGAATTAACAAGAAAAATTGTATAAAGAATAATAAATAAAGGTATAATATGTTGAATTTTACAAATTTGTATTATAATGATTAGGTGTAATAAACTTATGATATACGGTATGCAGTATGATCGATACAAATTTAATAATATACGCGTGTTACAAAAACAAAAAAAATAAATCGTTCATGGAAGAAATTTTTACCAAAGCATAAACGGTATATTTTTTTTTTTTTTTTTAATCTCTGCAATTATAAAATCAAAAAAAAAAATTGTCTAAGTCCTTAGCGCGTATAATATAAAGTGGCGAATTAATTTAATATTTGCATACTTATAATTTTACAAAATATCAAAAATAATATCTTTTTATTTATATTTCCCATATGTAATTTTTTTCATATTGGACATTTTCAATAGAAATAAAGAGTTTCGGCCTGAAATCATAAGAATTTTTCTGCCATACGATATAGGATAAAAAATCGAGAGTATTTTTTCCGATGTTTGGAATTGTAATACATTACGTAAATTTGCTTTAAATAGAATTGTTTAAAATAATTACCTGTTGTAGACAATTTTCGGACCAATTTCGGATCATATCAAGATTGAGATCCGCTCCGCAATGCAGATATATGTATCTTTTACATTCGATAAACAATCAATTCATTGATTCCAAAATAATGAAATGATAAATTATATAATTTCAATCAACGTTAACTATAATTTTGAGCATCATATCTGAAATAAAAATAAAAAAAAACTCTAAAATGTTGTTTAATTATGAAGTTAAAAGTAAATCTATTCTTTCATACATTTTTTTATACATAAATTACTTTAAATTTCAAAGTAATTCTTTCGAAAATCTATTTTTTTTTATCAAGAAATAAATAATATACAGTATATATATATATATTTCTATTTAAATAAATTAATTGCTTGACACTAAATGCTGCTGCATCTGTTCAATTGATAATATACATTGATCATTTACTTTATGCCAATATAACATAGAATGAAAAACTCCATAGTAATGAAATACAGCAGCCGCTACAACAAAGAAATGAAAAAATTGATGGGATGATCCCTAGAAATTATTTAAATAAAAAACAAAAAGAGGATTATATAAGTAACTATTAATTATTTATGAAAGATGTCTCGAGCGGAGATCTTAAAAGTTGATACTAACCCATATGTCGAATTTACCAGGAAACAACCTCTCGGGTAATCTATTTATAAGAATGTATTTAGTAATAGATTTTACCATCTAAATCCAGATAACCATTATTTACATACCTTGTACCATAAAGAAATGCGCCAAACATATATAATGAACCAGTAATTGCCAACCATTTGAGGGAAATGACCTCATAACTCAAATGAAACTACAAAATAAATTCATTTTAAGTGATTAATTTACGAAAGCTACAAAGTTAATGAATTTGTAATATATCATAAAATAAATTATTCACCCCATATAAGAAAATAGCATGTATTACTGGAATAACTGAACTTCCACCTAATGCAAAAAACAATCCAGTTCTAAACCACCTAAATTCTGGTCTTCTAAATCTAAGAGCCACTGCTACAGAAATCTACATGAAAACGATTATATTAGGGAATGAAAAAAACGTCATAAATAGAACAAACTAGAATAAACTTACTGTTGCGCCTCCAAACACAAGCATCATTGTAAGATAAACAATTTTTAATAGATTATTACAATAAAAACCTAAAAATATATGTATATAATTTAAGCAAAGGTAGTTTGGGGAAAAAAAAAATGTTCGAAAAGAACATACCATAATATATTATTGGACAAGTAGACCCGCTAAAAAAAAAAAAAATTGATTTTTTTAAAAAAAAAAAAAAAAAAATTAATTTGCAATAAAAATTTTCGATAATATAACTTACATAATCAAGGCAACTATGCCAACATAATCACATCTATTCCAATTCGCGCAAACCTATGATGCATACAATTCGAATTATAATTAATGTATTGAGAATCTTTTAAAAGAGAATTTCGAAATACCTTTTCCGAGTGACAACACATGGTGTGAAAGGACGAAGATAATCCAAGGCATATCATTGCACCCGCCATAAAACAATAAAACGCAATGTAATCTGACTGCTTCAAAGTTGGATGGTCCATTAAGTAAAAGTGAGTAGCCAATGAAAGACCAGCAAAAAGGATCGCACCAAAAAGGTGGGACCAAATGTTGACTTTAATCCACACGCAAGAAATTAAAAAAAAATTTGTTAGTTTATGCTCTAACAGCACACAAATCCACAATTGATCGTTAACTTACCACTTTCATTGTGAAGATAAAATAAAGATTTTATGCATTTCAAATATGAAAATGTTGGACGACGATAACCTCGAATGATGTCATTGTTGTCTTGCAACCAATTAGGAAGTTCCCAGAAAGCGCAAGTTAAAGAACCTTTCGTAGTCCAAGTTGTCGGAAAGAATAAAGACTCGTTCAGATCAAATTCATCATCAGATTTTTCGTTATCAAGGTTGGCTATCAAAGAAACAACGTCTTCTTCGATAATTTTTGTTTCGGATAAAGGATGTTTTGCTGATGATAATTTACGTTGAGAAAGCGGCATTTTTTTTTTGATGTTAAAATAATTAAGTCAGAGAATTGATTCGAATCGGTAAGGAATGATAATAATAATTATTATATCTTTTTCTAAAAATATAATAAAACAACCTATTTTATTAAAAAAAAATTTATATTTTTTTATGAAAGAAAAAAATAAAAAAAAAAAGATTTTTTGAAACTTACAATTCAAAACTTGTCGATTCCTTTAATAGTTTTTTTTTTAAAAAAAAAAAAAAAATTTAATATATGCAATAAAAGAAACTCTCCAGTTAGAAATTAAAATGACTGCAAATAAATTTTACTTGCATAAAACGCACATAAATTTTTTTTTTTATTATATACCTTTAAATGAAACTTTACCTTCAAAAACAGCAGCGACTCAAGGGCAATGAAAGAAAAAAAAAGTTTGGAATCGACAAGCTATAACAAAAGAACTCTAAAAAGAGAATTCCCGCCTCAAACGAAAGGGGTAAATTGATAAAATCAGTCATGTATTTCTTTATTTTATATATTTGTGATGCAGGGACATTTGATTCAATGATAAGAATGATAAGCTATGCCCAATTAATATGAACAATTGTATTTACGGACGTATCCGAAATGCAGAACATTGTCGATTGGTTTAAAATAAAATTAGTCGTCCTTAGTGTCCTTAGTTGTCGATCATATGTACAAAAATAGATGGTGTCAAATCCGAAACCTTGCTAAATTCGAGTTTGAAGGTTTGACGCAATCATAACTACTTTAAACCATTATGGATGAAATCATATGAAAAGATCGCATTACAAACCCCCTTTACAAAACGCGTGTTGAAATCATATACGCGATAAACTTCTAACGATTTTATGATTGTACTCCTGAAAGAGATTTTCGAGCATTTGAAAATCTTTAATATCAACCTTATTATTTGAATAAGATCTCTTTAAAATTTATGGAAAAAACTTGATTGACATATAAATGCAATGTTTAAACTAAAAGGACCTCTAGATACTTAATTAAATCTTGGTCTTGTAAATTTAGGCAAGATGACAAGGGCATAGCATAGAATCGTTTTATTTCATGATGCATAGTTGCGTAAATCTTCTCGACTAATTATAAATGGTCAGAGTAAATTTGTGTTTCACGTGATTTTAGAGAATTCTGGAATTTGGTGCACTATTCAATTCAACATTACAATCCAAATGTGTAAAGTTAATACTTTCTCATAACCATTTTTGAATTAATAAAACATTTCATGAAGTTCATCAAATAATCATGACTATAATTTTCTACATAAAGTTTATATTGGATAACTACAAATTAGAAGAATATATGCATTGAATTTTCCACGGAAAAAGCACAGAATTTTTTGAGTACATCCAAAAATTCAATCTCAAAATATGTATAATTTCACGTGTCAAATTTCATCAATTTGTAACAAAAAAATTTATATGCACAGCCGATCAATTCAAAAAAAATAAATTAACCAATAATTCTAATTAATCATCACACATGCAATTTTGAATTAACAATTTTACGTTTCTACACAAGAATAAGTGTTTAAAACAAAAAGTAACATATGAATTTATATGGTGATCAATATTTCATGCCAAGAATCATTACAATTTTTTGTTTTGATTTGTATATAATTTGTGTTATTTGAATATTAGTCTGTTAAAACTAAACAAAATAAAAATTTTAATCTCTTCCATTCTTAAGTTAAAACACCCTTTGTTAGTATTGTTATTAACGATGTACTCATTGGAATTCTCATTTCTCAATACAAGTCAAAATGGATGTGTTATGGCAGTGACATTTATTACGTAATATTGGGGGGGGTAATTGAAGGTCTTAGTATATATAGTGTAACGTAAGATTAATATAAGACAGGGAGGGGAGGTGGGGTATGAGCTTATAGTAAATGGATATTACGTAATAAATGTCACTGCTCTTATTGTTGATACCAATTTCGGTGGAAATCATGTTGATCAGCGAAGAATTTACAACAAATTTATGATTGACGAAAAAGGTTGTCATTAAACGCGCTATTAGAAGATGCGCGATTAAAGGTATGACCTAAATCAAAATAGTTTATAACTGACCAATTTCTCATATAACATAAACGCTTAAGGACCCTACTTTCATTAACCATCCGTAATTCTTTTGTCTCCCTAGACCTTTGTTCCGACCTTCACTTTATGTTCACTTTTATTTTCGCTAATTATTTTTTTAAAAAAGTTTTAAACGGCTTACTTTTAATTGCCATTGTTAGAAAATTGAGATAATAAAGTTTCACTGCGCCATTATTTTTTTGCAAATTATATCCAATCATTTATTTCATTAATTCAGTAATGACTTGTTGACGCGTGTTAAGTAGTACAGATAAGATTATAATTTAAGATTTTAACTCATTGGCGAATGATTTACTTTGAATTTGCTGTTTTGTGAAAAGATTCCGTCAATTTTTCTATATTTTCACGTAATTGATTCATTTCACGTTGATGGATGGAACCTGCATAAGAAATCAAATCGAAAGATTTTAAGTTTCTAAAAAAAAAAAAGGCTTAATAAATACGAATTAATTCTACATACGCATCCGTTCGAGATCCTTCTCGAGATCTCCTCTCACGCGCAAATTATTAGACTGAGTCTTTTCTAAAGATTCTAGCAGGGTAGAAGCCGTCAACTGGTTCAAAAAAAAAATTTTTGCTTTTTATTATTCTTAAACAAAGGAATTTTTAATTTAAGCATTAATTCATTTAATTGTTAAATTATAAAATGAATTTCGTCTACTTGATATTTTTCAAATCCGAATAAAAGTTTTCTCAAGCAATTACTTCTTTCTTCGGCATATTCATCCATTTTATCCTTATAATCGGATGCGATTTTATTGCTAAAAATTACGTGGCGTGTGATAAGAACAAATATAATAAAATTTGATGCTTTTACCAAATATTTATTATACTCACGTGAAATTATCGTCTTTCTCAAGATAGACCGAGAGAATTTCAATCATGGCCATCTTGCTTGATTCAAATTTTTCATCCATTGATTTCGAAATTTGAATCTCTCGTTTCTTCAATGTTGCTATGAATTGGGAGTTTGCATTTTTAGTCACTTACTGTTATTATAGAATTTTTTTTATTTTTTTACCTGTAAGTTTTGACATAATCTCACGGTTTAATTCTCTAAATTAAAATTGACATCAAAATTTGCTTTAATTATAATCAGTAAGGAAAGTATTAATGACATAAGTTACTGAAAACTTTACTTTTCGTCAGCATTCATCTCTTCTGTCAAATACGAAGTCGTTTTCATTTCGAAAAGATTTTTTTTTTTTTTTGAATCTATCTTAAAAAGTGCAAAGTACGAAAGAACATTAAAACGATAAAACAAAATGTATCACTTATTATATTTTGCACAGTAAATAAACTCAAACTTTTGAATATACTTTTATGATATCATGTGATAGTCACAACCATGTTAATGTTTATTGTAATCATACAAACGCAACATGAAATTCACAAAGAATTAAATTTTTTATAAGCATTCATGCATATTTGTAGAATTTCTTGATTTGAGTGATTTAATTACACCCTCTAATGAAAGACCGACTTTTCGGAAGAGCAACATAAGAATACTTTAGTAACTGATATAAATATCATTATATAATAATATAAAAATTATATTTAATTTATCAAATATTGTTATTTAAATTATTAGTCCGGAGCGTAAGCGAAGGACTATCTATGTACGAGCAATAGTGATGAAAAATGTCCGTTTTCGTTACACTTGTGCTCCGGACTTAACAACGGTTTCCGAAACCGTTCCTTAGTACTTCACTTTTATTATTTTTAATAATTGATTGTGATGTAATTTCAACAGGAATCAGTTTGCATTTTTATAATTTTATATATATATTATCATGTTAATTATCTTATATAATAATTATTTATATTATACATTAAAGTAATAAATAAATTGTTTTAATATTTTTTGTAAGATCATAGTAAAAGGAATTTTGATTGAAAAATAAGTTAATTAATTTTTATTTATTTATCTACTAATTATTTCTAATTTAACTATTCTATTTTTGATATATCTTTAAAAATTATCTGATATTATAGCTATTAATAAAGCATAATAATTAATAATTATTAATACTAATAAACTTTTTAATTATTAAATTATTTTAAAAAAAAATTTTATTAATATTTAATTTTCTTTATTTTAAAAATTTTGTAAATATTTTTTAATAACTTTATTAATTTAAATTTTATATAATATTTTATAAATAATCTTTAACTATCAGAATAAATATCAGGTAAAAAATAAAGGTTGATCTTTAAAAGTTAAATTACTAATTTCTAACATTTTACTTAAATAATTTATATTATATAATTTAATCAATTATTTATAAATTATTATGTAATTTTAATATTTAACTAATTAATAAATTATTATTTTATTATTTATTCTTATTTAATTTATTTTAATATCAATATTATTATTTATAATAAATTGTTTTAAATTAAACTATATAAGAAAAAATTTAATAATTTAAAATGAATTTTTATTTATTAAATCTGAAAAAAATATTATTAATAAAGATGGTATTATAATATTATATGCTCATTTATCATCTGTGATCAATTTTATTATTATAAAATGTTAGAACTTACGTCATGTGATTCTATTAAATATTTATTTATTTAACCAATTCTGATTGGCTGAAATGTGCAAATAATTTACCAATCACATTGAAGTACGACCCGCAATAAATAACGTAGTTCATAAATTTCTTTTTTAACCTTGGAGAATTAGGACTCACGTAAGCATTTGAATCTTTGTGACATTCTTTGTCTATCGAAAAATCGAACAAAGTCAGAACCAATGATGATGCTTTAAATGATTCGAAAAGAATTGAATGGAAAAAAGAAATTTTTTTCATCATGATAAGGGAATTTCTAATCTGAACTTTAATTTGCGATTGTAAAAAATGTTATTTCAAGTAAACTATGTATCGCTCACTAATTCACGGATTATTTGCAGATTTAGAAATTCTTAAGTTTTGATAAATGATTTGGTGAGAATTTATTTATTTCTCTTCCTTGCTTTGTATTGTTTGTCTATGATGGAGCTTTTAGCTCAAACTATTTTGAATGATCTATGAGGTGATTTTTTTTTGTGGTATTCTGAGACATGATTACAAATATTATTAAATGATATAAATAAGTCAAATTTACCAAATATTTTTAATTTATTTTTATTTTTTTTATCTACCAGAACGCAATAAAAGAACCTTAGAATCTTTTTTTATCATGTGAAGGACTTCTCCATGATTGTTTTTCTTATACAATTAGTAACTTATTACATTTAAAATTACCGACTTTGTTACACTATTTTAAAATTATATATTTTCTTTTTTCGCATAAATTACTTTATATATAAATGGTGAATTTTCAACTCGAAAATCAGAATAAAAGCAGCAAATATTCCAGCCAACGTAAAAGATGAACTAAAATCACGTAAAATCACCAATTTGTAATTGATCCAATCCTTACGATCAATCAAACTGATTAAAGAATATTGACCATAATTAAGTGAAAAGTTACTTTTTAATAAATTTTTGTATTATCTTTGGTAAGATTCAATTCTGAAAGGGAAAGTTTATTACACTAGGAGTAATATGCATAGATAAAAAATTATTCGGTTCGAGATGTATTCATATGAGACATTTTTCAAGTATATAGCGCAACTTCTAATGTTCAATTGTCGTTGATTCTATTTTCATTACTTGATTACCTTTTTATTATAAGTAAGCTGGATAAAATTTATTTGAAATAATATTTATAATTATAACTTTTTTTAAATTCATTTTTACTCTCATTATAAATTTGTAAAGAAATTTATAAAACAAAAAAAATTAAAAAAATTATTGAAATTAAATTAAAGTTTTCGTGTCATTAATTGTTTGTGACACAAATCTATGATCCGCGAAAATTATCGGATCAGCAAAAAAAAAATTTTTTTTTTGGTATAAATCTGATGATGATTGCACCAATTTCACTCCGAAATCTTTATCAATGTCTAAACAAAAAAAGATTTTCGCTTCAACCTTGGCTGGTACTGGAGCAGGGTAAGTTTTTTTTTAATGAATTTAAATTTTTGGTTTTTTTGCTAATTTTTCAACCGATCAATACTATCCATTAGATTAGTTGAGGTGTCGATAATGCAGGTTAATGATGATTATGATTTTTATTTTATTTTAATTTCTCATTACATTTCTAAGATTTTTTTTTTTTTCTTAATTGAAATTTTTTAGCCAACAGATGTATTAAAAACGAGGTGAATTTTATTTTAATCCATTTTTTTTGATTCCGTTGAAATTCCCTAACGAAATTTTTTAATAATCTCGTTGTGGAAGATATCAGGTAAACCAATTGAAAAGTTTCTTATTATCAAATCATTTCATCAATTGAAATTGAATTCCTTGCTTACTTAGTCAATTCGAGTTGCATCAAATTATGATGGAATTGGTATATTAAGATCATTTGCTAAAATTGTAAAACAAGAAGGATTTTTTGGTAACTAGTAAATTTCAAAATTGTATAAACCTATATGTTATAAATTAATAAATTATCTTCAGCTTTATACAGAGGAACATTGCCTGTCATGTGTATCGTGACCCCAAGGTATGGATTAAAAAGATCAAATCGAGAATTCTTGGTACTCTTTAAATCTTAAACGGTAGTTCTCTCTCTCTTTTTATTTAGAGTGTCGCTACAATATACGGGTTTAGCGATGTTTAAACCAATTTTTGATAAAATGGAAGGAAAATTTATACCGCCAGGAAGGTTGGATAACATACGAAGTTGACTAATTATGTGGTCCATGTATCCAATTTACTTACATACTTTTGATTCTTTTGTTGATTCAGTGCATCAGCATTTACCGGGGTAAATAATTTAGCCCATCTTAAAGTAATTCAACATCACTTTTTATTAATTTATATTTATCTTTAGATATGTACAGGAATAATGCAAGCAGTAACCTTAGTGACACCATTAGAATTAGTTAAAATAAGGCAACAAACTGATTTAAATCGATCGAAATATCGAGGAATGATTTCGACTATTGCATCAATTGTAAAGGAAGAAGGGTAAATACGTATTACACTTAATTGATAGCTCAGAATTTCACATATTAAAACAGTTTTCTCCTGATTAATAGAATATTAGCAATGTATAAAGGGTTGGTTCCTACAATATTTAGACAGTCTTGGGGGTTAGCTGTCAAAGTAAGTCATTTTGATCAATCATTTTTAGGATCTTTATTTTATTTTATTTTATCTTTTTATTATTATTAGTTTACAGGATATACAACATTTGTGGATTTATTTCGTATACAAAGTCATGATAATCTACAGCCTCAACATTATGTTGCATCAGGGTTTTTGTCAAATGTGTTGGTAGGCGTTCTCAATTCCCCACCTGACGTTATTAAGACAAGAATGCAAGATCAATCTGCTTCATATAAGAACTCTTGGGAGTGTTTAAAAGTTATGTTAAAAAGTGAAGGTCCCCTTTCTTTATTTAGAGGTTCTCTATTAAGAATTATTAGAATTGCTCCTGGCGGAGGTATTCAATTTGCTACTTTTGAATATTTATATAGATCATTAGAAAATAAAGTTTAAAAATGAATAAATAATTTATTCTTTTTAATGAAGACTTATTATGAATTATAAGAAAATTTAAATATCTAAATCCAAAGATGTCATCACCACTTTATCACTTCAGCTTCACCAAATAAGCTGTTTTTGGTAGCTTTAATTTCTCCCCCATAAACATCTTTTTGATCATCTTCTAATCCTACAACATCTTTGATGTCACATAATTCATTCTTTGCAATGTCAGGAAGGAATTTACGAATAAATCGAAGTATATGTCTATTAATTTGATCAAATTCTAATAAAAATCCATCATGTCCATCTGGAGACTGAATTGTAACCATCTCTGAATTTGGAATAAATTCCGCTAATTCATATTGTTCTGAAATTGTAAATAACCCATCTGATTCGATTCCTAAAAAAAAATATATATATATATGTATGTTATATCATTTGTTTAAGAAATTACATTAAAGAAAATATTTACATACCAATAATTAAGGCAGGTTGTTGAATGCTGCTTAAGACCTTTTCCAAATCACCACGATCTTTTGCCACATCATGAGCATCCATCTTCCTCGTAAGATTAATGTAACAATTAGCGTCGAACCTTTTAACAAATTTTTCACCCTGATAACGAAGATAAGATTGTGCTGAAAAAACGTTAGGAACAGATTTTGTGGAATGTTCGTTATCATTATTTTCCGTCCACTCTTTTGTATCAATTGTTTCAACATGATCTTCAACATTATTATTCGAAAGAAAACCCTCTCTATTTTCACTTCTATGTCCATCATTATGTATAAGCAAAGCTTCCGAAGCGGGTGTTGAAGGTCTTATTTTTGAAGTTGTTGTTGTTGTTGGATGTTTCTTTGGATCATGAAACTTTCGACCAAACCTTGACTCAAAGGAATCTCGTGATCTATAAGTTAAAAGTGCTGACATCCTGGCAGCCGAAAGTCCAGTGGCGGGGGGCTAATAAAAAATTCAAAACACAAGTTTTGATTAGTTCGAGGATTCATTCGTCACAAAATCAGCCAAACTTACATCATTATGATCGTAATATCCATCACCTGTAATAAAAATAAATCGGAAATTAAAGAATCAATATACAATCACGTAACAAATGTTTTGAAAATAATGACTTACAATATTTATTATCGCTATATATGGATTGCCTTTGAGCTTCATTCCAACTGATACACCAAGCTGAATTACGAGCAGATGTAGCGATCGGAACAATGGTTTTGACATAGTCTGATCCATAAAAAGACCATTCCAGAACCTGCATACCGCCCATAGAACCTCCGATACAAATTGCAACTTTCTTAATTCCCAATGAATCAAGAACCATCTTATGAAGCCTTTAATGTAATGTATATATATATATTTTTTTTAAAAAAAAAAAAAAATGAAATAAATTAAATATGCCGAGATCATTTTAAAAAAAATCCTACATATTTGATTCACCTGACATCGTCTCTTGGCGTTGTCGGGGGGAATTCGGGTCCGTAATATTTTCCAGTTTCAGGATTTATGGTAACAGGAGAGGCGGTTCCATAGGGTGACGAGAACATATTGCCGCAGAAAATAAAAAATTTCGTAGGATCAAATGCTCTTCCCTTACCGATAAGTGGACCCCACCTACAAAAAAAAAAAAACATGAAGTAAAGACAAATATTAAAACATTTTATTACAGATAGATCAAATACCAATCTTGTACGTCAGCACTTCCGCTAAGTGCATGACAGATTATCATAACATTATCTTTATTTTCATTAACTGTTCCCCATGTTTTATATGCCACAGGTACTTTATGTAAGGTATGACCGGACTGAAGGGTGAATTCCGGTATAATTACAATGTTTTGTCCATGCACAAGTTGAGAGAAATTATTTTCAGACTGTATTTCAACCTTTTCTAAATAGATAAAGTAACAATTAATTTGAAAAATCAATAGCTTGCTTCGATTTGAATTAAGAATAAGAACACTAACCATAAGTTACATACATTGCTAATTTTTTAATGAAAAAAGAAAGGAATTTTCGATCAACAATCGGAACACCTAATTGTATAGATCAGGTGAGTGCTTGCTTAATCAAATTATGTAATAAAATAAAATTTTAGGGCATGTACCCCGGGTTCAGGCTCTTATCCTAGTGATAAGTACTTTAAAAAAATTTATTTATACGCGGAGTCTAGGATAATAATTAAACCCGGATTTTCCAAAATTTTAAAGGTCCGAATTATGGATTAGTAATAGATCCACGTGTAATTTTGTCGGACCACCAATTTAAAATACCATATCTCAAAAAAACAAATAATTCGACAAAATAAAATATGTTAAAAAATATTCTTACGATTTTCTTTACGATTTTTGTAATTCTTTTGGCTGTTTCTTACCAATCGTTATACGATTCATATATTCTTATAGGATTTTCACGAGCGCCTGTTAAGTCCTATGATGGCGGAAAATGCAGAAGGATAGAAGGTGGATTGTTTCACGAGATTTTTTTTTTTTTTTTTTTTCAATAAAAAATATACTTATTTTTTATATTTATTTTTATTTTTTATTTTATCATAAAGATGTTGAAGCTTGCGAAGATATTCATATTCATCACCGAACCGGACACGCTTTTATGGCTTGCGGAAGCGAGTATGAAAGACTTCATGGTTATTTCCCACCAATCGATATTTTTAACAGTTCTCACCACATAAGAGATACTCCCCAAATTTATGATATCAATGTAAGATGATTTAATTAATCCTTTTATTTCTTTTGAAATTTACGAAGAAACATAAATTTTCTTTTCTTTTAATTTCCCTCAAATGAAATAAAAAAAATTAGAAAGATATTTTTATTCCACTTGTTCTAAAAAATTATCCACCTGAAGAAGACTTTATATCTCATGGGTTCGGCATTTATGAAGATCCTGAAAATGAAAATAAATTATACATGTTCTTCATCAATCATAAAAAAACCGGAAGCGTTGTGGAAAAGTTTGAACATATTTTACATACAAACGAATTAATTCATTTGGAAACCATTGAACATGAATTAATCAACACTCCAAATGATGTAGTTCCCGTTTCAAAACATGAATTTTATTTTACTAATGATCATTATTATAGACAAGGTTTTTTGAAAACTATTGAAAGTGAGTTTCTTTTTTCGTTTAGATGAATTCTTCTAAAGAAAAACCTTTTCAAAATATAAGCAATAAAAAAAATTTTTTAATAACTAATCTTTTTTTATTATTATTATTATTTTTTTTTTTTTAAAAAAAAAAAAAACAAAAAAAAAAAAAGCGTTTGCATTTCGTCCATGGTCAAATGTAGGATTTCATTCATCAATTACGAATGAAACTAAAATTGTCGTTGATGGATTACGATATGCTAATGGAATTAACGCGAATTGGGATTACTCTCTTATTTATGTTTCTGCAACAGGTGGTGGTGAAGTAAATATATACGAAAGAAACAAGAATAGTAACGAACTCAGATTAAAAGAGAGAATATTCACAGGATATCCGGTTGATAATATTAGTGTTGACGATATAACCGGTGAACTTTATCTTACTAGTAAGTATTTGAATAGAAACATTTTTAAACCATATATATATATATATTTATTTTTATTTATTTAACTTCCTTTTTTATAGTTGCTCACAAGGCCTTTCTTATTCTCCCTTACGTTGAGGATCGAACATATCCTACGCCACCTTTTGGAGTATTAAGGATTAGTAATAATACCGAAGAAGATAAATTTTATGGCGTAAATTATTCTAAAAAAGTTATTTTTGAAGATGATGGAAATTTGTATAATTTGGCATCGGTTTCTGCTGTGGATAGAAAAAGAAATGTTTTGCTTGTTGGCTCTTTCGTTGCTAAGGATATTTTAAGATGTGATGGCTTAGAACTATAAATTTAACCACCGAGGTTAAAAATATTTTACTATTGATTCCATTTTTTTTTTTTTTGAAAAAAAATTTTCGCACATGGAGTTTCTTTTTCCCTAAATAAAATAAAAATAAAATAAAATTGTTTTTTCTTTCTTTTTTAAAAGTTAAGGGGGAACAATGATCCTTCCTTTTTAACATCACCAAGAACCTGGTGAAAAAATTTTCTAATATTTGATTTTCGAGGGATAAAGTTATCGACAAGAAACTGCGATCAAAAAATGAAAAAAAAAAATAAAATGAGATGAACCAATCTGCAAAATTTAATAATTTGAGATATTTGGGATTCGAGACTCCTTAAGGATTGTTTACAAGCAGACCTAAACCAAGTCCCGCGAAGCTTCAGTATCAAAAGGCGATGTCAACTGAATTATTATCGAAAATCCTGTCGTCCTCAAGAACTGGTTTCAATCATATTTAAACAAATTAGAAAGAGTTTGTATGGATTAGAGAGATAAAACACCACAAGTAACACCCCTAAAAAAAGTACATTTATTTATTAAATTTTATTTTTTTTCGAACCGGTAAAAGAAAAAATATCCAACTTAATTTTTATACGATAGATAAAAAATATTTATCCTTTATTATAAAAATAAATTACGACTATTTATAAAAATATTTCCCGCATGTTTTTTTTATTCATGATTCCTATTCCTAGGATTGATTCTAACCATTAGTTCTTGACAAACGGTTACAGCAGTGGATTTAGATTTTAATGGTTCATTCTTATTAACCAATTCGACATCGTATTTCCTATAAATTGATGCCAATAAAAATTTTAATTCGATCATCGCGAGTTTTCGTCCTGTACAAATCGTAACAAGAAAAAAAAAAAAAAATATTCAATACCAGTATCAAACAGAAAATATGACAAAATAAAATGATGATGGTAAATACCTGGACAAATTCTTAGACCTCCACCCCATATGTTAAACGTGGCTTTAGGCCTTTTTTCATCTTTCTTTAGAAATCTTTCTGGATCAAACTTCTTGGGATCTTTCCAGTGATCCTTATGATAGTTCATGGCCTTAAAACTTACGTTAAATAGGGTATTTTTAGGCCATTTATAACCGGCAATCTCGTCAGGTCCACTACTATATCTCGATACCATGTTAACGACAGGCTTTACGCGAGATACTTCATAGATAACAGCTTCGGTATATTCAAGCTTATCGAGATCCTCGTGTGTCACCCGACGCGTCGTATCACTTCCAAAGACTCGATAGAGTTCTTGGTGAAATTTTTCTTTTACTTGCGGATAATTTTCGAGATAATAAGCAATGAAACACAAAGAATTGGCAGTCTATTGTAACGCAAACGAATAAGTATCTCAATGTTATGTCCATTTTACGGAAAAAGTTTAATTTTAATTTACCGTGTCAGTTCCTCCAATAAAAGCGTCTTTAATATTTCCACCAATATCTTCATCTGTCATGGGACTCAAGAATTCTTCTTCGGCAATTTTGGTTTTATTAATATCACGAGGAGTATTAGCGGTAATAAATGATGTTAACATATCATGTCTGAGAGGTTCCTCTAATGGAGTCTTTTCAATTTCTTCTCTCCTCTTCTTAATAATTTGATCAATCTTATTTAAAAAGAAATCCCGTTTTTTAAGTAATTTGTTTTGACGTTGTTTAAAGTAAGGTAAATAACGTCTGACAATAGCTGGTGTGTACAAAAAGAAGGCCAATCCTACTGTAGTACTTTGAATCGATTCAATGAATTCCTCGGAATCTTCAATTAAAGTAATAGGTATATCTGACTTTTTTTCACTTAAAGTATTGTAATAAGAAGGTAAAGAATAAATGCGTTTCCCTGTAATTAAAACTATAATCATATCATTCGTAAATCGATGCATCCAAGCCGAGTAATCAGTTGAAGTATTAAACCCAATTCCTTTCCAATAACTTTCCATTTCATAAAATAATTTATGAGCCCAATTCAAGGCTTCATCGGCAAAACTAGGTGCGAGGATGGCCTGAGAGAAAAATTTTCGATTGTATTTCCAAGAATTAATCTCAATATTATTTACTATCCCTTTATTGGACATTCTTAAATCTTTTAAATCCTTAGTGAAAGGGAATCGTCGTAGGTACAAACTTTTGGTTGATGATTTCATCATATTTTCAACATATTCTCCACGACAAAGGACTACCCTTCTGTGTCCGAGCATTGTAATTTCAAATATGTCACCATATCTCTCATGTAATTTCAACATCCATTCGTCAAATTCTCCAGATTTGTTTAAAAGGTTACCAAATATTGGGAGAGGAATTGGACCTGGAAGAGGATTCAATCGTGTGAAATATTTATAATAAAACTTCGCTAAATATAGTATTGTCATAAGAAATAATGTAACGATGATATCAGAAATTTTAAATAATTCAAAAGAAAAAGTCATCTTGAAAGATCCGAAACAGAAAAAAAAATTTAGCCAAGATTAATCCTAATGTGCTTATATATGTATAAAAAACAAAAAAAAAAAAACAAGTGTTAGATGGCAGTGAAGAAATTAATCGTGATGAAACATATCCTTTTAAAAGAGGTCCTTGCTTTGGAGAATTTTTAAGTTGGTATTAAGAAATATTATAACTTTTATTGAAGGTCTGTAAAATGAATGAAGGATGCATTGTGGTTATAAATTGTTTCTGAACAATACGAATTAACCCATTACCGGAATGATTAGATAATACTGAAATATTTAAGGGAATTTAGTGGCGCAGCAGCGATTTATTATGTAAAAATTGTTGTTGTTCATTTCGTAGGTACCAGAATAATAACAAGAACTAATCTTGCATATGACAATATATGGGAGGATTTCTAGGAAAATCAGGTTTTGAAGTTAATAGCTTTATTCATTTTAATCTAATAACAAATATCTCAATTTTTGTTAAAAAAATTCCGAAGCCTGCGATCAACCCATATAATACCTAGTAATACCATTTTAAGAATTTTCTCATACATATCTTTATTCTATAAACAAAACAAAGAAATTCTTGAAGATTTTTAAATTTATTTTTACAGTTTATACATTCTAATATTAATCCTTTAGAGAACTATTTTCTTCATTTTATTAATACTCTTTAATTTCTCATTATATTATAGACTAAGATACTATTGACTATGATTGTTAATTTAATCTAAAGTATTATATATATTCAGTTACTTAATAGGATTTAGATTGTAACTAGTGTATCCTTTTCAAATGTAACATGATTAAAACTATTATCAAACATTTACACTTTTTTTGATTTATCTATCTAACTCACAATTAATGTAATGGCTTTGGAAATCACGTGACTTTATTATTTAAAATTCATGATTTTGATTGATCGATAAAATTAACTGTCTAATTAAAAGGACTAGAATATTCTAATGCGTCATTTGATCAGTTTATATTAGCACAAACGCCTGAACAAATAAAAACTCAAAAAAGAAAATAAATAGTAACTATTGAAATAATAAGATGAGAGTTAAATGAGGCAAAGAAATGGTTAAAAGAAGCAAAAATGATATTGAAGATGTTTGAGAAGGAAGTGGATGATGGATTGTGATTGAAGAAGCTGAGAAGAAATAGAAAAGGCCTTAATGAAGAGGACAAGTAAGAGAAGGTTAGAATAGAAAAAAAAAAGGAAAGGCTAGAAGCTAAAAAGAAAAAGTAGTATGAGCAGGTGGTATTATTGCAAGAAAGATTTACTGCTATTCAAACAGGTAATGATTTTGTGACTTAGGTTTTAAGAACAAAATAGTATATCAGTCAGTATGCATGTCCATTTTATAGTGTCAATCATAATTAAAAATTGTGTGTAACCTTTAAGTCCGAAAAGTTCTTTCTATGTAAACTATTTCAAGTCGCAATATAAATGCATTCAATTTTTAATACCTTTTTTCGTCAGCATTTTTTCTATCTAAAAGAAGTTGAGGTTTTGCCTTTTGAGCTCTTCTATAACATTTTATTCTATTGGTAATTCCGCCTATTTTTTGACGTTAAAACCTCAGATTCTTTTGCTATTAGTTTTTAAACCAACAAAAAAATACCAAACGTTCTTTGTTTTTAATAAATCTTTTGACAGAATCACTTTACCAAACTATATGCAACAATACTTTTTGATAAAAAATAGCTTTTATTTTTTCATATAATGAAATTTATAAGAATAAATGTATGAAAACTAAATTTGCTTTAACAAAATACAATAATAAAATATTATTTTATTCACAATTATTGTTTTTATTATGTCTATAACAAGATATATATTGACAAATTCAATTTTTATTTCATTCATCCCCTAATGTTTCTTTAACTTGATCTAATTGGTTACTAGTTAGATATTCAGAACAAGTCAGTAATAGTTCTAAGAGCCTTTTTTCTTCAGGTTTGGTTTCACAACATTGTCTTTGCTTTTTTCTTGACAGTCCATCTTGATTTACTAATTTTCTTGAATTAATTAGCAGTTAGTCAGAAATAGCTTGATTAGAATTTTCTATATTTGAATGTGATGTTGATGTAACAGCGATTTGAGAGGATTTCTTTTTTTTGAAGTTTAATCATTAGGTTTCCATCTTACAACTCCTAACTTTCTTCTTCCAACTTTATTGCTTTTTTGCACTGAGATAACATCTTGTAGAAAAATTGCTTCTATTCTTAAAGTCCTATCAGAAAAACAATTACCAAGACGTGTAACACTGGTGGCTGTAAACTGATTGGGAAAAATAGTATTCTATAAAAGATTTTGATAATGGTTATAATCATCTGAATAGCAAAATGCTGACAAAAGTTCGTATACTAGATTTCACATGACTGTTTTACGAGTATCTATGGCTCTTTGTCCAGTTGATTCACAAGGATTATTAAGATATTCTAACAATAAGATTCCTATACGATCTCTTTCACTTTAGGCAGATTTGACTTGTAACTTTAGATTATTAATATCAATTACATTTCTGGTAATATTCTGTTTTATAAATTTAACTCCAAATGTTTCAAGCGCCTTATCAAATGTAAAATAATAACCTTTCCATTTTTCTTCATTATCAATTTTAATTGATGAAGCACATTTCAATTTTTCCTCAAATTTTGGATATTGAGCTAATATTCTAAGGTATTGTGCAACTGATATTGAATAATTTGATTTTCCTGCTGATGCAAATAAACCCGCAAAATAAGACAAAGAATTTTTCTATAATTTGTAATTTCTGACACGAATTTCAACATGATGTGCTTTGAAGATTGATGTCCATTTATAATAAAAATACCATATTTGTAAAACAGTATTAACATTACTGTTTAAATCCACAATATTATCTTTATTGAGATTTATTCTTTTCATATGAATACGAATAGCAATAGTTACTGTACACTATATTAGTTCTAAAATACGAACTGTAGAATGATAATCAACAATTTTATCTAACTTATCCAAAAATTTAACTCCTAATGTTTTTGCTAGATCAAAAAGTCCATAACTTGAAAACAATACAATTAGAACTCTACACATATCCTTCAAAGTATGCTATTAGCCAAGAATAGGACGTAGGTTTGGCCATTGTTCTCTTTGTTTAATAAGTCTTCTAAAGATTGCTTCATCAGCTATCACATTCAAGTAATCATGTGATTTTAATTCAAAGTCTTGTTTATACATTTCTGTAGATTGAAATATTCCTTCATCTGAATTTAGAATTCCACCTGATTCTAATATAACTATATTAGGTATACTGGCTGAACAACTATGGTCAATGTTTTCAAGAATTTTTTGGTGAATAGTTACCATATCAAAATTTGTATTGTAAATAATTTGTCCTTTAAAATTTATTTGAAAATTCAAAAGATCATCAACAACTTTATCAAACATATCCTATGTGTTTTTCATTAAATCATTCATACCAAAAAAATCCAATGGTGAAGGAATTTTTTTCTTATTATCTGCTTTTTCTTCTAAAGAAATTGGCATTTGCATCTGAAATACCATCCTGAGCGTTGTGTGAGAACTTCTACAGATTGTATCAAATATATTTTCGTAAGTAAAAGTTTTCTCTTTAAAATCTATATTGTCTATAATAGCTAAATTCCATACATTTAACCCATTTAATAATTTTTCAGTTGGATTAACTTTGACCATTCGATATTTTTCTATTCAGGTTTCATGATCATTAGTATGACCACTTATATGTAGAGTGAATAGAAATCGTCAGAATGACAAAAAAAGCTGTAATTTACAAGACATATTGGCCATTACTTGAGTAAACTAAACACCAAGATAAGGAAATGCTATGCTTACAATAAGAGCAACAATAAATGTCACACATTTGGTAATATGTTCATTATCTAGTTGTTTTAAAGATTTGTCTCATTGTTTTCGTTTTTTATTTAAAACCATTAATTTTTTTAAAAAATTTCACCAATTAATCCATCGAAAAATCCCATTAAAATTTTGGAAAACTTGCATAATATGCATTGAGAGAAATAGGTAATTGTATTTCTAATTTTCTTTCTGTAACTATTTTACGTGAATTCCATACTTTATTTTCTAACATTTTTCCAACTTCTTTCCATTTATCATTTGTCCATTCTAATTTTGGATATACAATATCAATTATACAATTTATGTTTAATAATAATTTCAAAAAAAAATAACTAGGTAAATTAGATAAAATAGGGATAGTTGAATCATTAAAATTTATAGTATTTGTATTAATAAATTCATTAAGGTTTGAATAACGTGTATTATTTTTAGAATCATAATATTCATATTTTAAAGGAATTTTAGGTGAAGTAAATAAAAAATTTAAAGCTGAAGCTAACATAAAAGCAAGAATTATTTTCTTTTTTTCTTCTGTTTTAGTATTAGCTACATATGTAAGCCATTGACCTAATAATTTCAAACTTTCAGATATATCATCTTTATGTAATCCACATTGTTCACAAGTGGATTTTTGCTTGCTAATACCAGGTTGATGATTCAAATGCTTACTATGAGATTCATAACAATTATAACAAATATATCGAATTGTTGAAACATTATCAAAAATTCGTTTAGAAATATCCTGATATTCATGTATTGCATTATATGAATAAAGACCAATACACAGAATTTGAATGTATTTCTCCCATATCCTTCACAGATGATCTTTACATCCAGCTCCACGACTAAAGAAATAAAAATTCTTAAAACATAATAAGCAACGTCAGCGACAAATTTCACTTTGTTCAGAACTTCGTAATTGTTTTATATATGCATTATGATTTTTTTGATCATAATTAAAATGATTCATACATACCCCCAATGGTATTCCTTTTGATTGAAATTTTAATACCGCATTTTCATCAATTTGCCAGGTTCCAACTAACTGGCATATATTTCTAATATTCACAGTTTGACCACATGTTTGCAACTTATTATCTAAATAGTCGATTAGAACACATGGTGAAAAATTTGTATTCACAGTTGGATTAAGTTTATATACAGGTTCATTTGCTTCTTCAACAGGTATTGAAAGTAAAGAAACTTCTTGGTTTTTAGAATCTACTTTATCTGCATCAAAGTCTTCCTCATTTTCATCGCTTAATTGATCCACAAATTCTT